ATCCTCCTGGAGCACAACTACGCCCTAGCCATCAAACCGCCGCCCTCCACCCCGGCCCCTCGGCCCCTGGAGCCAGTTCCTGCCCCTGCAGCCCTCTTCAGCTCCCCGGCAGACGAGGTCCTGGAGGCCCCTGAGGTGGTAGTGGCCGAGGCAGAGGAGCCAAAGCAGCAGCAGCAGCAGCAGCAGCAAGAGGAGGGGGAGGAGGAGGAGGAAGAGGAGGAGTCGGAGTCCTCGGAGAGCAGCAGCAGCAGCAGCAGCGATGGCGAGGGTGCCGTCCGGCGGCGTAGCCTCCGTTCCCACGCCCGGCGCCGGCGGCCGCCCCCACCCCCCCTACCACCACCACCGCCCACCTTCGAGCCCCGCAGCGAGTTTGAGCAGATGACCATCCTGTATGACATTTGGAACTCGGGCCTGGACTTGGAGGACATGAGCTACCTGCGGCTCACGTATGAGCGATTGCTGCAGCAGACGAGCGGGGCTGACTGGCTTAACGACACCCACTGGGTCCATCACACCAATATCCTGAGACGGAGAGGCTGGTCTTCTCAGGACAGGGAGACAGGCCAAAGGGCTGGAGGTGGGCTTCCCTGGGATCGCACAGCCAGGCGCTGTTCTCCTGAGATCATTCCTAGGGTGTGCGTTTATATCCTTCCCTATCCAGTTCTCTTTGCCATGTTCAGCATGGGTATTTCTCCTCTGACTGCCAAGCCTCCCTTTCTCTCTGCCTGGTGCCTCTTTTCTGCTTCCAGGGTGTTTTTATCAAAAACGGTGGGCAGACCTATTTCTTTCCATCTTTCTGTTCTCACACTGAGTATGCTCAGGACCTCCAGCTAAGGTCAGTTGCCCTGTCCTTGGACTGGACTAGGGGGCAGAGGGGAGCGGAGCCTCAGGGATTTGGCCCGTGAGGACCCTATTCTCTTCCTTAACACCCTGCACTCACCAACCTGAGCACTCCAAAGCGCAAGCGGCGGCCCCAGGACGGGCCCCGCGAGCACCAGACAGGCTCAGCCCGCAGTGAAGGCTATTACCCCATCAGCAAGAAGGAGAAGGACAGGTACCTGGATGTGTGCCCTGTCTCGGCCCGGCAGCTGGAAGGAGCGGACACTCAGGTGAGGCTCCTCCTTGGTACCTGCCCACTGGTGGCATCTTCTCATCAGTTCTCCCATCACTTAACATCTTCTATTGCCTACTTCTCACAGGGGACTAACCGGGTGCTTTCAGAGCGCCGGTCCGAGCAGCGGCGGCTGCTGAGCGCCATCGGCACCTCAGCCATCATGGACAGCGATCTGCTGAAGTTAAACCAGCTCAAGGTGAAGAGTGGGGACTGAGGAGGGAGCAGTGGGAAGGCAGCGTCGTTGAGCCCCCTACGGGTGGGGCTGGGTTGAGTGGCCAGGACACCCTCCAGCCCTGGAGGTCCAACGAAAGGCAAAGAGCTAGGCTGAGGGGGCGTCCAGCAGCACAGTCTGCCTTCCACCCTCTAGTTCCGGAAGAAGAAGCTCCGATTCGGCCGGAGCCGTATCCACGAGTGGGGGCTGTTTGCCATGGAACCCATTGCAGCTGACGAGATGGTCATCGAATACGTGGGCCAGAACATCCGCCAGGTGAGGCTCCATACCCAGGCCCTGAACTGGCGGCAGCACGGGATGCTGACGTGAGAACTTCCTGACCCTCTGGTGAAACCCCGCACTCCCTGCCCGCTCTAAGGCTTAGCCAGTGAGACCTGCCTTTTTTTTTCCTCCCTTCCTTCCTTCAACAACTAGTAATGGGTACTGGTAAACTAAATGTTAATGATCCAGCAACAAACAAGACCATCTCTACCTTTAAGGACCTCACAGTTTAGTGGATAGGACAGGTTTTGAACAAGTAACTACAATAAAAAATGGTGTTTGGTTGATATGAAAGGGGATGTCTAGGGAGGTGGGGGCAGTGGGAGCACAGTAGTGTTTCAACCATCAGCTGAAGGATGATGAGGAACTCGCAGGCTCAGGTGAGGGGAAGGGTGCTCCCTGTTGTGGGAGAGCATGTACAAAGGCCTGGAGGCAGAATGGTCTTAGGAGGGCAGGGAGGTCAGCATGGCTAGTTGGAAAAACTAGGGCCAGAGGCAGCAACGTGAGGCCAGAGGGGCCGATGGAGGCCCACAGAGCTTGGGAGCCACGTTAGTAAGTTTAGACCGAGATGAGAGGAGGAAACTCGCTACAAAGCGTTAAGCAGGAGAGGACTTTGGAGGTTAATAAGCTCCCTCTGGCTGCAGTGTGAAGAGAGAACTAGAGGCCGAGACGAGCAGGGGTGGGGGTGTGTGGGGCTGTTGCACAGATCCCGGCCAAAGGCGGGTGGCCTGGGCTAGGCGGTGGGTCCAGGGTAACAGTGGAGTCCGGGTCCAAGGTGGCTGGCAGGACCAGGCAATGAGTTGGCTCTGGAGGGTGAGGGCAAGGGCCGAGGCCAGACTGTTTCTCGGGGCGCCGCCTTTAGCAGCTCGGAGTATGTAGGGCTGCCAGTGAGATGGGGAGTGAGGAGGAGGAGGAGCGGATGTGTGGTCAAGATGAGCTCTGGTTGGGACATGTGAAGTTGCAGTGCCCGGGGGACATCTAGAGGATGACGTCCCGCAGCTCCACTGAGGTGGATTTTGGCTGGAGATGGAAGTTTGGGAGGAGTCCTCACCACTTAGCTGGCAGTTGAAGCCCTGGAATAGAGTGAGTTCACCCAGGGAGGGTGCAGAGGGTTTATCGTCCTGTTTTCTGGGAAATGAGTTGCTCCTTCTCACACAAGAATGTAGGCCCTGAGGTGGACAGCGGCAGCCACGGATGCCTGTTTTGGAGAGATGGTCCCGGAGAAGGGGTTCAGTTCATGAAATGGCCGTTGTCATCTCAGTAGCTGCCCTAGCACCCAGCAGTCTGGGGCTCCACCGTGGGTCAGGAGACACTCCAGGAGGAGCCAGTGGCTGCTTCTCCTGCCCAGTGACCACTTCAGATTTTCCTGGGGTCCTCTCTGGGTGACTTTGTCAGAATGGCAGCCAAAGGTTTAGGGAGGTGGCTGCAAGAGGGGAGTCCTGGAAGCAAAGTCAGGTGAGTCAGAGCCTTGGGGTGGTGGGTGCCAGAGGGAGAGCTGCAGATCCAAGACAGGCCATGTGGCCCCTGGGGTGGTGGCTGGGAGACTGTCAGGACCCCCCATCACAGGGGCCGGTGGGTTCAGGCCTGGTCCAGCAGGAAGCTAAGGGGCAGCTCCCTGATCATTGCACCCTGTCCTGTTAGATGGTGGCCGACATGCGGGAGAAGCGCTATGTGCAGGAGGGCATTGGCAGCAGCTACCTGTTCCGGGTAGACCACGACACCATCATCGATGCCACCAAGTGTGGTAACCTGGCGAGGTTCATCAACCACTGCTGCACGGTGCGTGAGGGGCCGGGCCGGGCCAGGGGTGGGGCGGGGGCCTAGGGGCCGCTGCTGCTCACATGGCCCTGGACCCTCATCTTGCAGCCCAACTGCTACGCCAAGGTGATCACCATCGAGTCCCAGAAGAAGATCGTGATCTACTCCAAGCAGCCCATTGGCGTGGATGAGGAGATCACCTACGACTACAAGTTCCCGCTGGAGGACAACAAGATCCCATGTCTGTGCGGCACCGAGAGCTGCCGCGGCTCCCTCAACTGAGGTGGGGCAGGACTGGTGCCCACACCCCTATTTATTCCCCTTGGTGCCCTAAGCTCCCCAGCCCACCCAGCCTTAGTGGGCTCAGCAGGGGCCACACGCCCCATCTCTGAATGTGGGGTTGGGGGGCCCCAGGCCCAGCGAGGGAGCCTCAGTCCCTCGAGGCAACTTCTGCTTCCCCTCGTGCCCCTGCCTACCCATCCCGATTTTTTTTTCTTTGCGGAGAAGAAGCTGTAAATGTTTTGTAGCTGCCAGCAGCTGTTTCCTGTGGAAACCTGGGGTGCCGGCCTGTACAGATCCTGTTCTTGGGGGGGCTGCAGAGCCCCCTTGCTTTGTGTTAATGGGGACTTCCCTTTGTGCCCTGCGTGCACCCCTCCCCAGTTTAGGGGTCTCTAGGGGCAGTGGCCATGTTCTCCCCGTGGGGGGGGGGCCCTGCGCCCTCAGTCCTGGGGACTCCGTGCCTGGAACCCTGCCTCATCTTCTGTTCCTGCCAGACCCTGTGGGTCGCCCTCCCACCCTGGTGTCTGGAAGCTCTGGCTCTGCCAGGCCGGGACAGTGGGGGGGCAGGCCCTTCCTGTTGGGCTGGACTGTACATATGTTAATAGCGCAAACCCAATGCCACATTTTTATAATTGTGATTAAACTTTATTGTACAAAAGTGCTTGGTCAGTATCTTTGGGGAAGAGTATGGTGGGATGAGGGTTGACAAGGCAAGGGAAGAGAAGGGGAAATAGGTGGCCCAAAGTTTGGGATGGGTAGAGGGGCTTTTGGGCAAGAGCCCAGACCTGCAGACTCGGCCGCCATCACTCCCGGCCATCTGATAGGCTGGAACTGCCATCCAGAAATCCCCTGCCAAGGCCAGCCAGAGCAGGGCCAAGGTCAGGCCTCCTTTCCCTTCCCAGAACCACAGCTGCTGCTGGGCTTCTGGCCTCCTGGGAACTCCAGCAAGAGGGAAAGACTGACGTCATGTACTGGGAGTGAGGTCACCCTGCCTGCTCCAACCTGCAGCTGAAACCCCTTCTCGGCGCCCACCCAGCAGGTTTTGCCTTCCCCATCCCCCTTCCCAAGTTCTTCGCTGGAACCAGATGCCAGTGCAGCGCAGAGTAGCCACCAGAGGGTGCCCTGTGGCAAGAGAGTGGGGGCTGGAGAGGTGGAGGCTGGGCTGCTCTCTGTTCCTGGAATGGGCCAGGAGGGAGGAGGAGCAAGCGGAAGGGGATGGTGTATTGCTGGCCTGCTGGCCCAGGGGACGAGAAAAGACGGCCAGTTTGGGCACCCTCAGACGGTGGCTGCAGGTAGGCAGAGGTGATGCCAGGGTCCAGGGCTCCTTTCCTCCAGTCCCAGCCCTTCCTACCCTCCTACCCTGTCTCTCCAGCTCCCTTGTTCTTTTTGTTTCAGAATCTCCCCTCCACCTCAAACTCTGACCCCTTCCAGCAGGCCGAGCCCTCCCCCTTATCTTGGTAACTGCAGTTGGCAGGGTCAGAGGGCAGGTAGCCTGGCTACTGTGCCCGCAGCTTCAGCCTCCGTAAACTGCTCTGGCCTGTGTCCCTGCTCCAGTCCACTAAGCCAGAGGCCCCTTCTAGGAGTAACAGGTGGGCTGCTGCCGCTGGGGCAGGGGTGGCAGGCAGCCCAGTTGAGCCAGAGTCTCTTTCCCCAGCCGGGCATGGCAGACTCTGCACAGGCCCAGAAGCTGGTGTACCTGGTCACAGGTGGCTGTGGCTTCCTGGGGGAGCATGTGGTCCGCATGCTGCTGCAGCAGGAACCCCGGCTCTGTGAGCTGCGCATCTTTGACCTCCACCTGGATCCCTGGCTGGAGGAGCTGAAGACAGGTGACTGGTGGGGACTGAGTTGGGGAGGATTGGGTGGAGGGTGTGGATCCCTTCACTGTGGTGGAAAAGATGATGCCTGTTATGTTCTCCAGTGCAAATGGATGGGAATGGATGAGTCACATTGGGAACATGTGGCTCCTGAGGGTGTGGGCTAAACCCAGCAGCTGGCCAGAGGCCTCAGCTCTGATAATGCTTCTGGTGGCCCCTACCCGCTCCCAGGGCCCGTGCAGGTGACTGCTATCCAGGGGGACGTGACCCAGGCCCATGAGGTGGCAGCAGCTGTGGCCGGAGCCCATGTGGTCATCCACACAGCTGGGCTGGTGGACGTGTTCGGGAGAGCCAGTCCTGAGACCATCCATGAGGTCAACGTGCAGGGTGAGATGCTCCCCACCTGTTCTGACCAAGTACTCAGTACTCCCTGGCACATGGCCTGATCCTGGCTGTTTGTCCCCTGCCCCCTCTTTGACCCTGACCTCTGATTCTCCTTTGACAAGCTGGCCTGTGGACACTCCTGCCCCTGTCATGATAGGCCAGCCCTCACTGACCTGCTATGGTTTTCCCTGGCTCTGGGGAAGGAAGGCACATGCCTGCATAGCTTTGGGATAGGGAGGGGAAAGATGCAGAGCGGGAGGAAGCTTCAGCTTGGACAGTTCCACCCCCTCACCCAACACCTCCCCCAGGCACACAGAATGTGATTGAGGCTTGTGTACAGAGTGGAACACGCTTCCTGGTCTACACAAGCAGCATGGAAGTTGTGGGGCCCAACGTCAAAGGCCAGCCCTTCTACAGGTGAGCTGAGGTTTCCCCCAATACTCCAAGGGCCCCATCTCCCCTCAGCATTAAGACTCTTCCCTCTCTCTCCACTAGGGGGAAATGAGAATACCCCATATGAAGCAGCACACAGACACCCCTATCCTTGCAGCAAGGCCCTAGCTGAGCGGCTGGTCCTGGAAGCCAACGGAAGGAAGGTGAGGCCGGGGAAGATGAAATGTAGGAGACGGGGTGGAAAGGGCTGCCAGGCAGAGGTAGAGCTGGGGCCTGCGGGCTCCTCTGCCTCCTGCCCTGGGCACTTCCCTTCCATCTCCAGCTTGAGGAGGCCAGGGCAGAGGGCAGGCCCAGGGGTCCTAGGTCTCAGCAGTGCTTGCCTTTTGCCCCCAGGTCCGAGGGGGGCTGCCCCTAGTGACATGTGCCCTGCGTCCCACTGGCATCTACGGCGAAGGCCACCAGATCATGAGGGACTTCTACCACCAGGGCCTGCGCCTGGGCGGTCGGCTCTTCCGGGCCATCCCAGCCTCTGTGGAGCATGGCCGGGTCTACGTGGGTGAGGCCCGGGCTAGGCAGTGGGGGAGGCTAAGAATGGGGCAGGACCTATGTGGTTCGGGGAGGGGGGTTGTTGTGTACTCTGGCTAAAAAAGGACGGTCTATAGTTGGGCCAGAGCAACCTATGATATGCGGACATCGTCTGCACAGGAAACAGGACCCATGCAAGCTGCGAAGGCTGACATAAAAAATATGTCATGGGCTGAGGAAAGGATTTCAGTTATGGGAACAGCATCTGCCCAGGAGCAACAGGCCTGGCATCCACACAGGCTGGCCCAGGGGGACAAATGACTACAGGGGCCTGGGAGGGGCCTTCACCAGGGCCTGTAGTCATACGGGCAGCACCTACATGGACCCAAGGAGGGGTAGCTTGTCCTTGCGCCAGCCTGGGAGCAAGCAGCATCACACGGTGACAAGGGCACTCGGGCATATCCTGCCCTGCTCCCCTCCCCCACAGGCAACGTGGCCTGGATGCACGTGCTGGTGGCCCGGGAGCTAGAGCATCGAGCTGCACTGATGGGTGGCCAGGTCTACTTCTGCTATGACAACTCCCCCTACAAGAGCTACGAGGACTTCAACATGGAGTTCCTGGGCCCCTGTGGACTGCGGCTGGTGGGCGCCCGCCCTCTATTGCCCTACTGGCTGCTGGTGCTTCTGGCTGCCCTCAATGCCCTGCTGCAGTGGCTGCTGCGGCCGCTGCTGCTCTACGCGCCCCTGCTCAACCCCTACACGCTGGCTGTGGCCAACACCACCTTCACCGTCAGCACCGACAAGGCTCAGCGCCATTTTGGCTACGAGCCCCTGTTCTCCTGGGAGGAGAGCCGGACCCGCACCATCCGCTGGGTACAGGCCATGGAGGGCTCAGCCCAGTGACGGTGGAGCTGGGGCCTGGAGCCCAGCATAGCACATTCATCCAGAGCCCTCAGACCTTGGATGGGGAGGGAAGGCTGCATGCTAGAGCTGGAGGAGGGGTCTGGTGCCAGACTAGCTGTTCTAGGGCTCTCCACATTTTAACCCGTGAGCCTTGAGTCTCTGACCTGACCCCCCTAAGATCTAGGGCAGGGCTTGGCGGCAGGCATACCTTCACTCTCAACCCAGGCCTGGCGGCAGGTTGGCGAGGGTCTGATTCCCTTGATGCTCAACAGCCCCACCCCATTTCTGGCTTTTCAAGCAGAACATGAGTGGGTAGAAGTTCCACAGGCCTCATGCTGGCCTTCTGATTTCCCCATGTGATTCTCAGTCCTGGATTCAGAGTGAAGATGCTTCCTGGTTCCTCCTACCACCTTTGTCCGTCCTTGGGGGTCATATTCCCCCTATTTAAAAACATGTATTACCTTTAGACACTAATCTTTTGATTCTCTTCAATGAAGCCCTAGGAAACCTGTTTACTTTCACTTCTTCCCACTCCTCTACCTGAATCAGCTCCTGCAATATCGTTAGATCTCTGCCTAAAGATGCCCCAGTAATGCTGTATCTGCCAAGCCCTGGATTAAAACTCTTCTCCAAGCCTGTGTCCATCCTCCTGTCCAGCTCCCCCACCCACCACCCACCACGTCCCTCTCCCCACGGCGCCAGTCCCGGGTTGGGGACAGAAGGAAGTGAGCACACAGCATGCCCGCTGTTGGATTGGTTGCTATTTCTCCCGTCCCACGGGGCCCAACCCGGCCCGGGATAGGGGTGGGGGGCTCTGGGGACAGGACATGCAGGGTGGGGGCGGGGCAGAATTTTTCTGTGTTTTATCCATTTGCAACTTGGTCACCAATAAAGAGAAATGGGACTCTGAGGGCTAACAGGAGAGGGTGGCCTGGCTCTGGGCCCCCAGCCAGGCCCCAGGAGTCCTGTCCCCTCCGGGGAGGAGAGGGAAAGAGCTCTAGAAACCAACGGAGAAACAGAAGGGGCAGGGGCTCATGTCAGCAAACACGGCTATATCACGTGACACGCCAGCGACACAGAAACACACGCCAACGCACATGACTGCACAGCAGGCGGGGTTGGGGGGAGGGAGCCGGGGGCCACCCATCTTGTCCTCTGCGGGGCAGGCTGGGGGTGCAGGGCAGGGTGAATGCATAGAACACATCATGTACACACGCTCAAGGCGTGGCAAGAGCGTGCATCAACCCACAGGCACATGGGATGGACACGCAGTGTGCTTCGTGAGAGGCAGGGCTAGGGAGGGAGGGGAAGGGGAAGCACGGAGCCCTGGTCAAGCCTGGGACCACCTGCGGGGCACACAGGGGCTTGATGGTTGTAGGTGTGTGGCGGGTGGGCAGCACACGCTTGTCTGAGAACGTGCAAAAGACACCAGCCCCCAGACTACATTCCAGGACACACACACACACAGCAGCCAACAAGCAATCACATCGTATGATGTGTGGGACTTATAGAAGCTGAGGCAGAACAGACTCTTGGGGATTCTCTGGTCCAACTGAGACCCAGAGATGGACAGCTACAGGCCTAAAACCACTCAAGGAGGCAACAGCGTCACTCAAGCCATGGCTCCACCCTTCTCTTTGTGGCCCCAAGGCTGTGGGAGTTCCGGAAACACCTGGCCTGAAAGGGTATCCTGCCTGGGCAGCAGGAAGGAAAAAGGGTGGGGTTGGGGGATGCTGGGGCCTGCTCTGACGTCCCCAAAGAAGCCTGAGTGGGAGCAGGAGGGCTGCAGTCAGACACGGGGGCAAATTTCTGGTCCTGACGAAGGGCATTCTGGGAATGGACAGGCAGGCTCCCCTCCTCAGGAGAGCCTACCTTAGGGGTTACATACATGTATTGGCCACACACAGGCAGGGCCCAGCCAGGCAGGGCAGAGGCTGGCTAGCTGAGCTGTGGGGAAGGCGGGGGATTATGTTCCAAAGGTCACATTTGCACTGTCTATCTCTCATTCACACACACACATGCTTCACATGAAGAGGGACCTGGGACCCTCCAGGAGATGATCTGCACTCACACCAAAGTCCTCCATCCTGTGCACACGTATGCCTGACCCCAGGGCAGGGCGCATTCCTGTACTTGCATGTTCAATCCTGCACACGTGGGTCCATGTTCCTGGGCCAACAGACTGAAAGGCTTCTAACATTGTCCTTTGCCTGACTACCTCCTCCCGGTCACCAAATGCACAAACCTACCCATGCACATGTTGTCTACGCAGCGAGGGAGCAGCTGGCCCCTTCCTCACCATCAGAAACCCAGGCCTGTGTCCCACCTTCAGTCTCACCCTGCTGGGGAACAGCTATTGCCAGTATTTCAGCAGGAGCCTGGGCCCTAGGACTCAGCCCACTTCAGCACGTCTGAAATAAACAGTTCCCCAAACCCAAGGTCCCTGAGGCAAAGCCCAGAGTATCAGACGGGGTGGTGGGGACCATCACTGGCCTCTCCCAGTTCTGAAGTTACTGCTCAAGAATGCCCTCATTTCCAATCTGCCTGGGGCAGCCTTAGACATTTCCCCTTATCAGTAACTTGCCCGCAAAGAGCCCTCCCAGGAGGCATCCATGTGCAGGCCTGTACCCACAACCTGCGGGGTGAGCATGTGCCTTGCTCCGCCCTTCATGTGTGTGCCTGGGTGTGGCCTCAGCCACCGTGGCAGGTAGGAGCACTCAAAGGTGTCCCAGCTTCCACAGGGGCAGGCCTACCCTCTGGCAGAGACAGAGAAAAATAAGCATCTGGGCATGTGTGCACAGGGGCTCAGACCACACAGGGCAGGAAGCTCCGTGGCACAATTGTTGACATAGCGGTGTGTGGCCACACTGGATAGCGGTCAGCAGCTCTGGGGAGAGACGGAGGGGACAAATAATCTGGAGAAACAAACCTGGCTGGGGTACTCGTCCTTACAGGTAAATGAGTATGTGCATATGCTATACAGGGGACAGAAACACACAACGTACAAGTCCTACACACACACAGATATGTGCAGGTATACTCGAGATAGCACAGAAACATACATTTCTGTGCCCACCCCAGACAGGTGTCCAGTGCACAACGAGCGCTGACTCAGGAGAAGGCTTACTGACACGCCAGGCACGTCCTCGAGACACACACATACACATGCCTCTCACATCACCTGCTGGGAAATACACATGGACATACAGGCCAAGCCAGTTATTCACACAAGTGTGCTTCCACTCACTGTGGCTGAACTCCACACGCACACACACACACACACACGCGCTCCCCAGGACACACGCCGGCCGCAGGGATGACTAAGCCAGGAGGGTTTGGTCTACATTGCGCTAAGGTGTCCTCCATGGCCTGTGAGGACTTGGGCCCACCTGGATCCTCTGGGAGAGTGAGTGTGAGCATCTATACACTCACAACCTGCCCCACTAGGCAGCAGACACGGGGTAGGGGGGTGGGTGTCATGGGAGGAAGGGCTGTTGCAGTGGATTTAAACACTCAAACACAAAAATTCCATCTACATAAACTGTGTCCACAGATCTGTGGCCACACCCACACACAGACGTATACACACACACACACACCACTATTCACAGAAGACAGAGTGGGGCTTGGCGGGCTGCTGTGTTACACCTGGCCACAGTCTACACAACAACCCAGGTGAAGGAGGAAAGCTCAGACAACACACAGACTTGAGGTGTGGGGCAGGAAGGGTGATTTGGTGCTTCTACACACACACACACACACACACACACACGCTGGGGTGTCCACACGTCTCGAGCATGTGCCGGCGGCATGCATGTTGGTGTGCATGTGTGATCACGCCTGCTGCTATCTACGTGCGGGGGCGAGGGTGGTCCATGGCGTGGGAGGTCCAGGGACTCCAGGGTCTGATGGGGGAGGTGAAGGGGGGGCTGCCTGGGTCTGTCTTGAGGGTGAGCCTGGAGCAGGGGATGGAGTGGAGGGATGGTGGGGGGTATTGCTCCCAATGTGGTGGGGGAAGGGTCTGGGAGGGACAGGGGTGGGGGGCCTACAAGCCCAGCGTCCCCCCAATGGATGACGCCAAGACCACCCCCAGCACCACACAGCAAATGATGATCATGATTTTCTTCTGCAGGCAGGAAGAGCGACAGGGAGGGAAGAGAGAGACAGAGACAGAAAGAGACAGACAAACCGACAGACAGATAGGGGAGGAGGGTGTGAGAAAAAAGAAGAGGGGAGAGAAAACAGAAAAAGGAAGAGGTCAGAATACGAGATAAGGCCTCTCACGGGATTTCATCGCTCACCTCAGCCCTGGCCTGAGCCCAGCCCCACCCGCTCGGCTCCAGCCCACCTGCTCCGCAGGCCTGCCCGCCCCGGCTCACCCTCCGGGCCTTGCTCTGATATTTCACAGCTTTCTTGGTGTCGGACACGGCTCGCTCCACGTAGTCCACGGAGTGTTCCACGTTGTACTCAATGCGGTCGATCATTTCGCCCTGCAGAGGAGATGTGCCCGGGATGGGGTGAGGGCTGGACTGGAAGAGGGGGTCCTGGGGACCTGGGTGGGGCCCCGAGTGCTGGGGCAGAGGCAGTACCTGGCTCTCCACGAGCATGGCCATGTCCACAAACATGTCGTGCAGCTCGCGGATGCTGGTTTCCAGTTTGATGATCTCGTTGTGCCTCGTCTCGATCTCGTTCAGCGCCTGCTTCGTCATCTGTGAGTCCATTTTGATCTAGGGCGATGGGGGCAGGGAGAGAGCTGCAGACCACCCTTTGCTCCCAGAAGAATTTAGATTCTGCAGCCAGAGTGTCAGGGTTCGAATCTGGCTGGCATCTACTAGCTGTAACCACAGGCAAATTACTTAACCTCTCTGGGCTTCAGTTTCCCCACGTGGAAAATGTGGATACTAACAATGTCCACCTGGTTGTGTGAAGATTGAGTGAATGTGCGTAGATTAGACTAGTACCTGGCACACAGGAAGCTTGTTTGTTAAACTACAAGAAATAAAACTTGTCCTGGGTCCACCACCTTGGCCCAGGGCTGCCTCTGCCACATACAGAGAGAAACCCTGGGAAGGGAGACAGGGGGCCTGGACCCCCACCAGTATTGGGAGCTGCCATCTGGTCAAAGACAGGATAACAGAAGGGGACACAGCAAAGGGAGAGGATTGAGCAGAAAAGGAAGCCCACAGGAGAAGGCAGTGTACCCACAAATCTCCTGGAACCCCCATGACATGGGTCAGGGAGAAATAACAAGGAAATACACGGCAGCCCTCAGGAATCAGTGAAAGAGAGGCTCCAACCCACAATCAGGTACCTCTTTCCCACAAAAGCCAGACCACTTACTTTCCAAACCACTCACTGTTTAGAACACATCAAGCCACTCTTCTACTCTAAAACCTTCCAGGGCTCCCCACTACCCACCGGCTACATACCTGGACCTTAGCAGTCAAGGCCCTGTCTCCCTTTCTGTCCTGATCTCCCCAAATCATAAAACAGTCCAAATCATCCAGTGGCTCTTGGGCAAGTGGTCCCCTCTCCCTGTCTTTGTCCAGTCTGTCCCCTTTGTCTGGAATGTCCTTTTGCCCACCTCCCCATGTCCAAATGCTCCTTGTCTCTTAAGGCACACAGCTCAATTCCCCCCAGGAAGCCTTCCCTGACCCTAGAAGTTACTACCTTAGAGCCTGGCTCCATCTTGTTTAGCACTCAGGCAGGATACCTGCATTGTGATGATGGATTTCCACTGCAATGATGGTGAGTTAATTGGCAAGGGTCAGCTGTATCCCCTTAGAACCACTCACCAGGCTTCCCTCCATTCTCAGACAGAGACAGAAACGGAGACAGCCTGGGCAGAACTGTTTGGGAGGGCGCCAGGCTAACTGGCCCATTATCAATTTGCTCAAAGCCAATTTAACAAAGATCAGTTCTCTAAATAACAGTTCACTGAAAACTGCTAGACAGTCACTGAACATACTTTAATCCTGGTCTAGAAACCTTAACCAGAGTCATTCTGCCACCAGAGCAGAGAGACAGAACTGGTCAGGCCAGGGCAAAAGTCAGTGAAGAGAAAGAAGAACTACGGTTGGGGAAAGCCCATCTATTTCACATACAAGATGACAAGGGCAGGGCAGGGCAGGGCGCAAAACTTCAGCAAAACTAAAAGTGTTTTTGTTTTCAAATCTTCAAAATGTAGGCAAATTAGTCATTTGGTGAAATGACTCGTTTCAGTAGAGAATATTGTATCTTAGTGCTGAAGGGTCCTGAATGGCACTGCCCGTGGCTGTGCGACTTCGGCAAGTAACTTAATCTCTTTGGGTCAGATTTCCTCATCTGGGAAATGCGGCTCCCTCAAAGGCTTGACGTGAGGCCTAAATGAGTTTAGCAGGTAAATGCAAATACGTACTGCGCTTAGAACAGTGCCTGACACCCTCCTGTTTGCCATTTTTATGAGGGTACCTTCCTGCTCTGCCCTCATGGAATTCCCCAGTTCCGGGTCCAGACCTCTGAGGGCTTGTTATTCCAGGGCGGACTTAGGACCTTGAGTTCAGCCTAAGCTTGGGGAAGAGAGGCAAATGCTTTCCAAAAACAGCCCCCACCCCCATGCGGAGCTCACATCATCCGTGAAGATGGCCAGCTTCCCACTCTCCAGCATGTCTTCCAGTTCTTCGTTGGTCGTGGTCCTTCCGGCTGTTGAGAGAAAGGACTCCTTGCTCAGGGACTGGACCAACCTGGGTGCCTAAAGTGGTGGGATGCGGCAGGGACCTGGGAGCCCACCCTCCCGTCCAGCCCCAGGCCAGGCGCCCCCTCCATGGAGAAGAAGGGTCTGGAAGGAGTACGAGGCAGGTCTCGGGAGTTTGGGGGGAGGGGTGTCACACGCACTGATCTCCAGCTGCCGCTGGATCCGGTCCTTGCAGCGGTCCCGGTACTTGGACTGGGTCGCGTTATATTCAGTCATTACTTCCACGAACTTCCGGGAGAGTGTGGAGTGCTAGGGTCGGGGTATAGACACATCAGGAGGCGGGGAAAAGAGACCGTGGAGGGATGTAGTGGGCAGGAGGGACTGAGTTAGCCTACGGCCCCTTCTTCAGCTTGCGCCATGATCCCAACCCCTCACAAGTGCGCAGTCCCATACCCCCAGGCCCTTATCCTACGCCCAAATCAGCCAAGGCCCGGCTAGGACACTGAGATGTGGCCGGGTTCCACCCTCCACTGTAGCCTCGTCCAAAGCCCCCGCTCAAAGCCCCGCTCCTGTCCAGGCTCCTCCTTAGCTGTGCCCCATGTTTGTGCCCGCTCTGCCCTGCCCTCCCCCAAAAGCAGGGCTTCTGGGTCCCGGCCCGACCCCGATGGTGCCTGACCTCTGCCTCCTACCTGGGTCTTGCGGATGCGCAGGTCTGCGGAGGAACGATTCAGTCCCTCCTCCTGTTCAATGCTTTGCTCGATCGCTGTGGAAGAGAGGATGCAATGAAGGGTGGGGGACCCGAGGCACGCGGGGCGGGGGGTCTGGGACGTAGGAAGGGTCGACACCCCGAGGCAAGTACCAGGCCCATGAACCGATGTTACACCCAGGGGAAGGCAGACAGCAGACTCCAGGAATGGCAGGGTGGGGTGAGGGGGGCGCGGTCAGCAGGTAAAGGGGCTATTTGAGGAGATCTGGAAGGCAGGTAGGAAGGGAGGTTGAGGGTCAGTCGGTACCGGACAGAAGGGGGCTAGGTGGAAGGACTGGGTCTTGGAAAGTCCCACAGCCATAACTCCTTCCCAACCACCCAGTTCACATCCCCAACATGGGGGGGACTCTACTTCCTACAGCCTCTGGAAAGGGGCAGGAACCCACCCCGGGATTTTTCTGGTGGAAGGCAAGAACTTTCAGGTGGGTAAGGTTCCAGTGGACACCCTTTCCTTGGGAAATTCTGTAGTAAGTGGATGGATGTTCCAACAGAGAAAACTGCTCTCCCACCCTGCCTTACAAGGTGATCCCTGTCCCAGGAATTCCCACGTCTAGAGGATGTTCTGGAAAAGCACACAGCTTAGCTGGGATTCCTGCTTCTAGATCATGCACTACCCACACTTCTTCAGATTTAAAAAAAAAAACAGCTTGAGGATAAGATCTACTGTGCCCGGAAAATGCAGCAGGGATGAATCACCAGGCCCTCTCAGCCCTGGAAGGGCCTCCAGGCTGTTCCTGAGAACATTGCTTCTCCATTCTGCTGGCAGCGGTGGAGGTGTGGGGCTCGGTGGCACCCCAACGCTCCCCTGCCAGCAATGGTGGGCCAGTGATTGAGTGACAGCTCTGGCCCTGCTGCTACTGGAAAAGCCCAGGAACACACACCCAGGGATGTCAGAATCTCTGGCCAGACTGGGACCCTATTGTCAGACTTGGGGCTGGGGCCAAGCCCTGGAGGAAGGGATCCTTGACAGGGCCTCGTTGACTTCTTACAGCAGTCCTGGGAGTTCAGCCCATGTTTCAGACTAGAAACTTAGATGGAAATGGGTAAAACAACTCATTCAGGGTCATGCACAAAGCGAGAGCTCGGGGCACCACCTAGCTGGAGGAAGATAGGGAAGCCAGTCTTGTCTCTTTCTCTGGAGCTCAGCTTCTCTACGCCATTGCCGCTTTCCCTAGCTTCTTTCTTGGTCTATTCCCAGACTCTAAACCATACAGCCCTCAGGGGCTTTTTCCCCCTGTTACATAATTTATATATGTTTCTTTAATGGAGGTACTGGGGATTGAACCCAGGACCTGCTAAGCATGTGCTCTACCACTGAGCTACACCCACCACCCCCTCTCAGGGTCAGAGAGTGTTAAGGTCGGAGCTCCACGGGCTCAAAGAAATCACTGAGCCCAGGGATCTTTAAATGGTGTTCCATGGAATCCTGCTTCTGAGACTGAACCTCAGGGGCTGTTGCCTGGAGTGAAGAGGAGGCCAGGCAGGTAGGACCCGGTCTCCCAACCCCAGTTCAACCAGAACAGCCTGACTTTTATGTGTTCTATATATTGGAATTTTGGGTAAGATTTCACTTGGGGAAAAAAAAGATTTTCCTACCGAAGGGAAAAAAAAAAAGCCAGCTTTGAAGTCACTTCAGTTCTTACTGTACGGATGAGGAAGCTGAGGACAGGGACTTGTCCAGGATGAGTTGATGATAGAAGTGGACTCCCTCTGCCTGGATTAATGTGTTCCCAGTTTAGATCATTCTGCTTTCCAGCGCACTCTCCTGAGTGCAAAGGGCTTACAGATCAGCACTGGAGGCTCACACATGGCCTCCTGTTGAGTCCAGAAGGGCCCGGAGTCCCTGTCCTCAACTCCCTGGACCAAGGTCATTATGCTCAGGGCCAGGCATCTGACATGACTCCTTTTCCCCAAAGCCCAGCAGTGTTTCTCAGACAGAGTAGATGCTCGGCAAATGTTTTCTGATGCAGAATTACCATGAGCATACAATTAGCATCATGGTAACACTGCTAGTCCCCTGGCACCAGCAAACAGGGAGGTTCCCAACCCACAATGCTTTGGGGGAAGGTGGTTATTACCAGCACCCAAGTCCTTAAATTAGAGTGAATACATGAGCATTTGGCAAGTCCCTCCTGAAAGCTTGCCAGCCCCTGATGTCAGCCACACAGTCCAATCTGTCCTGAGCTAAGGATACCAATTCAGAAGCATTTGCTGAGCCCACCTACTGGGTGCTTAGCGCTATGCCCAGCACCTGTTCTGGAGAAACAAGGCCTCTGTGAAACTACAGCCACCTGGAAGACTGTATTTTCCTTGGTGGACCTTCATGCTGATGGAACCAGCAGAGCTCAGATGCAGTTTGGACAGAAAGCTTCCTCTCCCTCATTTTCCTGTCATGCACATATCTTTCTCTGAGGAATCTGAAGCAAGTTGGGAAATCTTGGGTTTCATACTTTCTCACTGTTCAGGAATCTGGCTCCTGGAAGTTTGGAGATATTTCTCATAGAAAGGCCTGTTTAGTCCAATGGAGCGCAGATTTTTTTTTCCCTCCTCAGTCAAGGAATGGCATTCCTCACCTTTCAACTTGGATCGAACCTTGTTGGCCGTCTTCTTGATGTCTGCGGTGAGGTCCTCCAGCTCCTGTTTGGTCTCTGAGGGGAGGGTCAAGGCAAGTGAGACGCCTGGCTGGGACCCCAGAACCCCTCTCCCCTCAGCCCACGGCCGCCCAGCAGCAGCACTTACTCTCATCTGGGTTGGGGGCAGCCAGGATGGCACTGTGCTGTTTTTTCACTTGCTCCACATCCTCTGACAGCTTCTCGATGCAGCCCCGGATCTCTTCCACCTGGGGCAGCAAATCGGCTATACCCAGCCAAGTCGTCGGGCCAGACAAAGGGATTCAGGGGGCTCAGTCAGGGTTCAGGGAAATGGGCCAGACCCAGAGGGGTTGGTAAAAGGCCAAAGGGATGGAGAAGAGTTGGGGTGGGGGTGGGGGTGGGGGAGCCAGGGAGTAGGATGTTGTTGGCTGGGGGCCAGGTTCTGTTACCTGTTCAAAGAACTCATCCATGAAGTGGTCCCGATCCACATGGACCACCTCCTCCTCATCATCGCTGTCTTTCGCCTGGAAGGAAAGGAAGGCAGTGTCTGTGAGCAGTCCTCATGCTCCTAGCTCTAGGCTCGGAGCAGGGGTCCTGGGAGGGGTCACATGCAGGGGGCCAGGGCATCAAGCAGTCAGAACGAATACTGGATATCTTGGGCACAGGGTCCCAGAGGCTGGGTTGCTGACGGCCCAAAGGACACCTTGAAGGGAATTAGCCAAAGACACACTTTCAGGGGTAGAAGTGATCGTGTGAGTACAGTCACCCTAGAGGCGGGTGGCGCTCTGGACAGCTGCTTGAACCAAGCAGTGTGCAAGTATTTCGATATTGTCACAACCAGCCAAATGTCAGACTCACAGTAACTGGCTTGAGGCTGCAAGAAGGGGTCTGGAATGGAGCCCCAGGAGCCTGACCCCCTCCACCATCCCCCTGCCACTCCTGCCGGGCCTCATTTGGCCCCCTTCTCTTCCCCTCCAGCCTCCAAGCTGACTAGCCGACTAGCCCGACCCTGTACAAGGTCACTTCACTGCCAGCGGCAGGCGCCAAGTTAAGCAAGCACAGTCAGGCCCGGGGAGGGCTGGATGAGAAACACAGGCAGCACCCCGACCTCCCTCCTCCCACCCACTCTCAGCCCCCCACCCCGCCCGAAGACTCTCCTCTGTATATTCACTTGCTTTCATCCAGCCTCTTCCAATTTCACACCCACCTACTCTCACTTGCTTGGATTTCCCAGTTGCAACCTGCAGCTGCTCAGCCCTCCACCCCCGGGGCTCAGAGACACAAAGGGATTTACCCACCCTCACCGCCACCGCCACCACCAGACAGACCAGTGACATAGACAGAAGGGCTGACACCCAAGGCACGCAAAAATAGGCCCACTGACACCCACACGGAGACACACTGCTTTGCTGACATTCACCCGCACACAGACCCACCGCAAAGCTGCCTGCTGACACAGGTGGACACACAGAGGTGCACCTGCCCCCCGGGGACATTCAGGAGGGCCCTCTGGGGCTGTTCTCCCAGCCTCTCAGAGCCTCAGGTTTGCACACTCACTCGGAGCTGGGAAAGAGGGAAGTGGGGCAGGGAGGGCTCCCCCGTGCTCCACACTCCGACTCAAGATCCTTCTTAGCTCAGGACAGGAGTCTGAGGGCAAAAGCTGAGCGCATCAAGCTTAATTACATCGGGAGCCCTAATCAGCATCGAAGGAAGTTTAAACAGAGTTCACCCTGATTTCCAGAAGAAAACCAAACCTAGCCAAAACTCAGGCAGAATCTCACAATCAGAGCCTGCATGAAATCCAGACAGGATCCAAACAGCGTCTACTGGTGGGGTTGCCAGTTGGGATCTAAAGAGAAGAGCTCACACGGGACCTCAACAGGGTCCGAGCAGATTGCAGACAGGGCCTGACAGAAACCAGACAGCTCAGACCCAACCAGACTCAGTACAGACAGATCACAGACAGCTCAGATCGAACCGAGACAGAGCCAGATGGGACCTAGATGTGAACTAGACAGCCAAGTGACTTGGAATCAGAGGGCCCCGACAGCATTGGGGAGAGCTGCAAGCCCAGAGATGTCCAGCTGGATCCTCTAGAAGGCACCCCAACTCCCTCACTGAGGCCCTCTCAGATGGACCCCAGGGGTCCTCCCCACAGGTGATGCACCCCACACCAAGTTGGGTTCATGCTCAGCACTTACATTTAATCTCCAAATATCTCCCAGGAAAGGGAGGCTCCTCCATCTCTGCCCACAGTTGCCCCCAGAAGGAGGGGTGACCCCAGGGGGTGCTTGGGGGCCCTGATGGGATTTCTGGCTTCTCAAGCCTCCACCTGACCCGGAACTACACCAATAGATCTTGTCTCCAAAAGGCTCTGGGATGCTTGGCTCATCTCCAAGGACCCACCAGCCTCTCATGATGTTTCATCCTCAAAAGCCAGCTGCCCGACCAGGTCCCCTTCTCCTAGAGCCAAAAGCCATTCCTCTGTCCCTTCTCTGCAAGCACTCGGCCCTCAGCCCAGCTGCCCACATGTTGTGGGGCCTCTCACTGGCCCAGGTGTCTGGGAAATTTCCTGTTCTCTTTCCCTTCCCCAGGCTGTCTTTAAAGACTTCCTGAAGTCTCACTTCTCTCTCTCTCCTGGGGTCCCAGGACCAGATCCCTGTCTCTGCCCTGAAGCATCCTTGGCTGCCTGTTTACTTGCCCTTGAGAGAGGAAGAAAGGTAGAGGGCCTGAGGATGACTTATTTGGTGTAATGATTACAGACATCTGAGAGCGAGAATCTACTACAGTTTACAAACACTTCTACGTCTATAATCCCTTCTGATCCTTGAGAAGAGATGTCCCCATTTCACAGACGAGGGAACAGGAGGTCGGAGGGGGAAGAGGAAAGGGACTTGCTGAAGCACCCAGGCTGACGGGAGCTGGGAAAGCAGAGGCGTCTAAGACATGCCTCCTCCCATAGCCCTTTCTGAAGCTTGAGACCAGGCAGCCTCCTACCAGCAAAGCTGCCACCAGCGATTTCCCCTCTCAGGTCCCCTCCAGACAAGGCCCAATTCCAGAGACGCTCTGAGCCTTTGAAAACCTCGTAAAGTACGAGCATTTGAAAGCACCTTTGGCGTAGGTCTTGCATTCTTGTTATCTCATTGAATCTTCATTAAACTCTGTAACGGTCATTGGTCAACATAATTATAATTACGGCGAACATTTGCATAGCATTTTATAACTTGCTGGGTAGGGTTCAATGCACACCGCATTCATTGATCCATTTCATTCTTATAATAGCCCCCTTTTAAAACTGGGGAGACTAAGTCACAAAGAGGTTAAAGAGCTTGCACAGGTCAGCAGCTAGAAGGCCACACACCTTCTTCCTTCTGAGCCTCAGTCTCTGCATTTGCTGAATAGCAATAAAGTCCCTAACTGGTGGGCAGGAGGAGGCAATGAGACCAGGCTGGAAAAATGCCTGATGCTGCCAGAGAGAATAAGTGCTCGGTGAGGGCTGACTATTACCCGCTGGCCCTACCATGTTACAGATGAGGAAACAGGCTCAGAGAGGTTGTCTGACCTGCCTAAGGCTGCACAGCAAATAAGGCAGAGGTGGGACCTAAACTATCCAGTGCTAAATCTCAGGCTCTTTCCCTCCTGTCCCTTTATTCCTTCCTGGCCCCCAAAGAGTTCTCTCTGCTTTGTCCTCAGTACCACTGAACTCCAGCAGCCAGGACGGAAAACTACTAAGAAGTGCCAGGCTGTAGGAAGAGCCCAGACCGGAAGCCAGGCATTTCAGCCTCCATTCGACTTGCTGTGTGATTCTAGGCAAATCTCAGCCCCTCTCTGGGCCCCGGTTTCTCTGTGAAATGAGGGGCCCTCCCTGCTCTGAAGTGTGCGTGTTTAAATGTGCACAGCCTCCATTTCCGAAAGGAGTCGGCCAGCCTGAAAGAAAGCAGATTCCCTCCAACAAGATGATCAAATGTGCCCCCATCCACCCCATGGACGGCTCAAGCCTCAGTTTCCTCATGCGCAAAGTGAAGACAATAAGAATTATGTACACTTGACACATGGTCCTGATTACCGGGAGCTGGGCCCTGTTACAAGTGCCTCGCATTTCTTGTTTAATCCTATGGCCGTTCCATGAAGTCGATACCATTCTTATTCCCATTTGACAGATGAGGCAGAGGGAGATTCAGTCATTTGCCCGAGATCATACAGCTGACGGTGTGCTGACAGGGCAGAGCCTGGCTAGACACCCAGGTACTCTGCTCTTTATGGCCCACCAACTCCTCAAGCGTTTGACAGGATTAAATGTGAGAGTGCCTCCGCCCTGGCAACCTTCTGGAACTGTCCTGGGGTTATCAGATCTAAGCCTCTAGCTTCAATCTTTCTCTATGAGGGACACCAAGGGCCCTCATGTGTGTGTCGGTGGTGGGGAGACAACAGGGACAGATGCGTGGATGGGAGGAGAGGGACAATGTGAGCCAGTAAGTCCACCAAAGAGACAACCAGAGGGTGATTAAAACAGAGGTGGAAGCGGGGGAGGGTATAGCTCAGTGGTAGAGCACATGCTTAGCATGCACAATGTCCTGGGTTCAATTCCCAGTAAATTATTGAATAAAAAAAAAAACCTAGAGGTGGAAAGAGACTGAAACGGGATGATAGAAAAGTCAGAGTGTGTCTGTGTGTGCGTGTAAACACACATGTATGCCCAAGCACACAACACACATGTGCTCACACCTGCTTCTCAGAGGTACAAGCATCCTTTGATCTAGAGGCAGCAGTCTCTCTCCACCGCACCCCCTGCTTCAGTCCATCTGTCTCCCTGACCTGGGCCTCGGCTTGCTACCAGCATCCAGCCCAGCCTTCCACCCCAACCTCTCTCCTCCGCCTTCCCCGCCTTCCCCGCCTTCCCCGCCTACTCCCTTCCTCATCCTCCCTCTGCCCCACCGAGTTCTTCATTCACCTAACAAATATGTGTGATCTCTGTCAAGTTCTCTTCTGAGTGCTGCTGAGAATACAGTGATGAACAAGACAGGGAGAGGGCCTTCCTTCCAGGGGCTGACATTCCAGGGGAGGGAGACAGACAGTGCAAAACGAACAAGACAACTTCAGATGGTGCTACATAGCAGGAGGGAGATGAAGGAGGAGATGTGATAGAGAGAAGAAGGCATCGGGGGTGGCGCTCGACTGGCCGGTCAGGGAAGGCCTTGCATTCAGAGGGTCCAGCAAGTGCCAAGGCCCTCAGGCAGGGTGAGCTTGGTGTGTTCGAGTGGCAGAAACAAGCCCGCGCAGCTGGGGTACAGCACTCCATCACCCAGGGTTCTCTTGATCCCTGCCCACTCTCTTGAACCCTGGGCCACTTTTCCCTTCTGTTACATCAGGTCTGCATTTCCAAAGCACCTACTGTGCCCCAACACCTAAGTGCTATACGTTGGACCCAGCCCCTGCCCTCAGGGTGCATGATTTGTCCTAGAACAGCTCCCATTTCCACCTGCCCTCAAATTCCAGCCTCTCTCACCTCAGGCCTCCCCCTCGCCCATTTCCCAATCTCCCCATCCAGCCCCCACACCCCCTCCCACCCCACAGCTGCCTCACGGGCTCCAGCCCACAATGCGTCCCCTCTCCCCACAACCTTCCTCTCCACCTCACTTGCTCTCCCTCTACCCCTCTTCAGCCCCATCCCTGGCCCCACTCCTTGGACCCTGGGACAACCATCCAGCTCATTAACTCCCCGCCACAGCCTCTGCTCCAGCCCAGCGCCAAAGGTGCTTGATGAACTGGAAACAGAAAACCCTGGTTCCACCCTGGCTCTGCCATTAATAGCTGTATGACCTTGGGCAAGTCAGGTTCCCACCCTGGCCTTCAGTTTAGTCCAAAATAAATCAGGGGTCACATCCTGTCCATCTCAGGGGGCTGATGTGAGGCTCAAGAGAAATGAACAAGTCCGCTGTGGAATAACAAATGCTCACGGAGCATTGCTGTGCACTCGGCCTCCTTCTAGGCGCTTCTGGCATCATTTCAGTCCTCAGGACAAGCCTCCGAAGCAGGACCCATTATTACTCCTAATTCACACATGAAGAATATGAGGACCAGAAAGGTTAAGCAACTTACCCAAGGTCACACAGGAAGTGACAAAGCTAGGATTTGAATCCAGACAGTCTGACTCCCAAATCTGTGCCCTTGACTGCTATGTGATGAACAGACCTAAGAACCCCTTGGGACCTCAAAAGTACTGTTGAAAAAGATAATCAGGCCCCCGGGCTGACATCCCCTCCCATCACTGCCCTTCCATCCCTCTCTGCCTCTCCAAGACCCCTTTCCCAGGCCTCCCACACCCTGCTGAGTCCCTCTGCCTCCCAGCCTCCTCGTTCTCAACTCTGGTTGGGTGACCCTCGCACTCCTGGCACCTGGCAGCCTTTTCCCGCCCCATACGTGCCCTCCCAAATCTCCAGTTTCCCTGAACCATGACTAACACCAGAGCCATCAGCAGGCACCCAGCCCCCTTCATCCCTCCACATCACCTCCCACCTCTCCCCTGGCTGCCCCCAGCAGGCAGGATTCCTCACCCTGAGCAGGAGGGTCCCTGACCCACTCCAACGAAGGCCCCATCCCCGGCCTTGCCTACACCCCTGCCTTTTTGCCTTTTCCCTCCCCCGCTTCTCATCACACAGAAATTCCACCACCACCTCACCTCAACCCACCCTCTACTTCTCTGGGTTTTAGAGTCATGGCTAGTCTTGGCGGCAGCGGATCTGGGTTCAAACCTGAACTCCTCACTTCCTAGCTGTGTGATTTTGGTCAAGTTTTAACTACCCTGGGCCTCAGTTTCCTTCGCTATAAAATGAAGTAGTCTCTCAGCCTACCTACCTGACCAGGTAAGGGTCTAATGAGACTTTGGATAGCAGCCTGCTTTGGATGAAAACGGCATCATGAGAGAAGGGCAGTTTAGAGCATCCGTGCTGAAGCCAGCCTGCCAGACTGCCTTTAATTAGCTCTGTGACTTCAGTCAAGTTACTTAACCTCTCTGGGCCTCAGTTTCCTTACCTATAAAGTGGGGTAATAGTAGTACAAGTCTCCTAGGGTTGCTGTGACTGAACAAATACATATAAAACACTTAGAACAGTGTCTGGCACACGTGTGCTGGGTATTTTTGTAAGTGTCGTTTTCCTGATGCCTGATTGTGTATTTAGTAAAAGTTTAATTAAAAAAACGAAATCTTCAACATTCCCTCCCTCAATCACCAGTTCCTCCTTCCTTCCCACCTGCTAGCCCATCCCTCCCAGAGACAACAGTCACTGGCCTCCAAGCCCCTTCCTCTTGTCTTTTGTAACCTGGTTCCCCACCCCCAAATCCCAGGGACTCCCCAAAGACAGAGCTTTTCCCCCCCCAATGTGGAGACTGGTCTTTCAAAGACTAAAAAAAGTGGAGACACATGTCAACTTGGTAGACGGGAAACCCAGATTCCAGTCTGATCCTCCCACCCACTTGCGTGGTGACCTTGAGCAAGTTCCTGCCCATCTCAGAACCTCAGTTTCCTCATCTGTCAAATGGGATAACAACCACCAGGGTAACGACCCACAGGCACCTGGTCAAGTGCATTAGGCCACATCAGCTGGGGCTAGGATTTTATTAACATAACACCACAGGCTCTGAGCACACAGCAGGCTGTCAGCTCTGCCTCCTTGGGCCCCAGGTCATTTCTCCCACCCCTCCAGCATCCTTCTAGCCCCAGAAACCACTCTTATCAGGCCCCCACTCCCCAGCCTCTCCAAATGGCAGCCTTCACTGCAGACACCAGTGCCACCCTCCTCCCCCGTCCCCCAAACACAACTAACTGCCTGGCCGGACTCCTGGAGCCAGGCCTCTTCCGGCCTGCAGACCAGGGGCTCCTGTCAGCCTGCCCCTGACCGTGCAGGGTGCCCCAGTTCCCCCCAGCAGAGCACAGCCCATGTCATACAACCCAATTCCGTGGCCCTGTGTGTGAACCTCCTCTCGGTCTCCCCCACAGCCCCATCTCCCACCTCGGGGATCACCCTATCTCAGGCCCTGGCCCTCTGGCTGTCTCCTGAGACCACTCCTTCCCACTGGGTCTCTGAGAGATGCCCCCTCCCCATGGAGAGCAACACACACACACACCACACACACACACACACACACACTTCATTCACTGCCAGGTGTTGGCATTTCAGTCCCAACCTGTCCTTCCCCACACCATCTCCCAAATCTGGGTCCCACTAGGCTCAGCCTGGCCCAGTAGCTCACATCCTTCTAATTCGCAAATCTGCCCAGCGGATGACAGTACCCTCCAATTCTCTCCTCACACTTACTCTCTCCCATCCCCAGGTTAGACCCTAGGGCCCTCCCGGGAATGTGGGGTGTCCAGGGCCCCTGGGACCTCTCCTGCCCCCTTGTGTCTTAATGGCCTCCCACCCTTTCTAGCCCCTGTCCCTAAAATGCAGGTTCACTGGAGACATCAGGTGCCTTCACATATTGGGGTGCCCCTGCCACCAACCTCCAGTCAGCTTTTGCCCCCATGTCCCAGCACCTCCTCCACTTCATCCCCATGCGCTCCCCAAATATTGGGGTCCCGCCCCCCCATTTCTCCCACCCCCGAGCTCACACTCCGCAGCTCT